GTTCTAAATAAGCACTAAACAAGTATAATAAGACATTAAAACATAAAAGTAATATCTTTGAATAATAGGATCATGAATTTAACCTCTGAAGCTATATGCATCCCGTCCTTTAAATTCAATATTCCTTAATGGCCCACATCTTTACGTATGAACTAGGATCGCAATTGTTTAAATTAACCTTAATAAGAGGTAACGTGTTGCTATAGTTGCCGCTAAAATGCCTAGAGATAGAATATAGGTTTAATTGTACGCAGGTTATTTTATTTTATTGCTAATATAAAGGTATATTGCTGCAGTAAATTTTGTAAATGATGCCAATTGATATGGCAGACATAAAAATAGGAGATAGAATTATGGCTAGTTATGTTTCTTTGGTTAGTACACATTTATATATTGCCTCAAAATAATAAAATATCATTTAAATAATTGTATTTTTTCATTATTAACTTTGATACATATACTGAATATCTCATTAAACCATATGATTATTTCAGAATCTTTAAAAATGTTTACATTAAGGTTAGTTTAACATTTCGTACTTCTTTTTTTTATCATTCTCAAGACTCCGAAAAGGTTCAGCATACCACTGGGATCTTTTGATAGTCGGCCTTATTAATAGTGTGCTCTCTCTTTTTGGTCTTCCTTGGATTCATGGAGCACTCCCACATTCCCCATTGCATGTTAAAGCGTTAGCCGATATGGAGGAAAGAATTGATATGGGTCATCATGTGCGACAGACGTAAGTTTACCATGTTGTGTGTATTTTCAGCATTCTTTTTGAAACTAATCATTAGCCTTCACGTACTAAACTAAACGCTTGTAACACTAACTATTTCATCTTATTAAATTGCTATAACCTATTATAATTTCACTTTCCTCACTGGAGGATTATAACTTGATAGAAAGATATCAGGTAAGATATTTTTGACCTTCATAATCCTTACTATTGGACTGTGCGCTGATCACCCTTCTATCAATCAAGTTTTGGTTAAAAATTTTATTTCAAACATGAATGCCAATTGATCAGAAATTCATTTCAGGTCAGCCAGAGTCCATTTATCATTAAGTACACAATCGTGTGCATAAACTTTCCACACTTATTTAGCCGAGTTAGTTTCGTACCAGTCTATAAAGGTGGTGAGAAATGTGCTCGCTCATAAATCCTGCGAAGCCCAGAACTTAAATAAGTATAAGGAATTACCCTGGCTGTTTTGAAGAAGGTTTACATCGATGGTAAAAAGTCCAGAATGTTGTGACCTTTTGTATGATCGCGGTCTCATTTCGTTGTATAGAAGTTGTTTTACCGTGGTTTCGCAACTTGGTCTTATTATCAGAACGACCCAGAGGTACGCACTTTGTCCACACCAAGTCCACGGTCCGACTCTGCAAATTATCGTGCATTCTATGAGCTCCAGACAAGGTTCGTTCCACTAAGTTTTCCTGCCAATATGAGCAAGTTGCGAAAACAAAGCCAAACAACTTCTGTAAATAAATACAAATACTGTATTGGAGTAAGGGGATGGCGTCATCACCTAAAACTCTAAACTGTTCGGCCAATCATGCTAAGAAATCTCGTTTTATCAAATGTGCCTCCCGTAAAATTAACGCATCACAAGTGGTAGCATACCTATTTCATTACCTATAGATAAGTAAATCTAGGTCGATTTAAAAAATCCGAAGATATCTTATTACCTGCATATTCAGCAGCTGGAGTCGATACTACCTAACCTAGCATTTTTATTCGAAGAAATCAACATGCTTATAGTAAGAAATATTTTTATTTTATTCTCCCTCTTGCAGTTATATTCCAGTTATAGTTTATCATTAGTTAATGTGCCTCTAACTTTATAGTAAATGTGAG